ACTGCAAGCAGCAGAGGCCAGAGGCAGAGCCCACATGGACGCTGGACGCCCTCTCGGCTCTCGCCTCCTTTTTCAGTAGGAGGCTGGACGCCCTGCCCTACACGAACACGGATCGCTCATCGCTGCCACTGACCTGACCTGACCTGCGACTGAGGCTGTGTGTGACTCACCTCATCCTCACACCTTTGGGCTTTGAGTGTGCACTAGCTGGTGTCGCTTGGATGACTCACCTCATCCACTGACATTTGCCGCACCAGATCTACTACTACACCGGAGCTGCTGCTCCAAGTAAAAAAAAAAATGGAGTAGCCACAAGGTGACGTGCTACCGGAACGACAGTGACGTATACGATACGACAAGTCAGGGCCCGCGCCGTACGTGGTCCAGGCGCCGCTTGAATGTACGCGTACGGGTATATGGACCGCGCGCCTTCCCTGACATATCCATGCATACTACCGTGTGTAGCGTATGTTGCACTGTATGTATGTACGCATACATAGTCGTATAGTGATGAGATCCGATCCGATCCGCCGTCTCAGGCACCTTTGTCCTGTTGCACGGCGCACGCAGCCGGATAGCGCGAGATATTCCGTGCGTGGGCAGGCCGCAGGTGACAGGGACGAGCCGTATGCGCCCATGTCACGTTAGGTCTCGTCCCCGTGGACCTCGACTCTCGGAACGCATGCGATGCAAAGCGGTCACCTGCCGCCGCGGTGCGCGTGTGCGTGACGAAGGCAGGTGCGGTGCGTTGCGGGTGCGGCAGAGGCGCAGAGCCGAGAGGAGACCAGGGTCGCCGCGGCGCCACGCGGAGACGACGGTCCTTGGACACTTGGCCTTGGTGCTAGTGCTACGGAGATGTGGACGTGTGGGTGCGGCCGCAGGCGCAACGCAGTGCTTGGTAATTGGTCCCTCCGATCCACCGATTTCCCACTAGGAATGGGCCACCTTTTCTTCGACATCGGTACCGCCTTAAGCTAGCTTTCTTTCTAAAAGCTCCCCATGGAGAGTAGTGCTTTTGTTACCGGGTTTTTGTAGGTGGGATGCGTGGTGCCTCCTCGGCCCTCGGCTAACGTACTAGTGCGGCTGGACTGCACGTTTTGGCGTATCCTCTCTCCATCGTGGACGCTCACACGTCGACGTCGGCACGTCGCAATCGCACATGAACACCGCTCCACCGCTGTGTAATTCTGGCCAACCTCCAAGTCTAATACATCTAGAAGAAGAAGAGAAGAGACGAATGGCACCGAGGAACGAGAATGCAACGACTCCGGTGTCCGGTCCCCAACTCTGCTCTCTAGCTCAACTTTAGTCCATGACAAATTGACGAATATGAAGATGAAGGGATCTAAGCTTTACAGTTCCAGACCTGTATATGCATGCCTGCTGACCGAATTGAATGGCATGTGCTCTCCCTGCCTCTGCCTCTGCTCGTTTATTACAGCACCGGCATGCACCGTATTGAAGCGACGATCGTTACCCTTAACTCCAAACCAAACCTAGCCACTCTCCCTCCCTCTCCCCATCCGTTTCTAGTTACTCCTACCGTAGTACCGATGTGAAAAAGATGCCCTGTCAATTCGCCTCGTGTAGTCGTACTACCGCCGCGGCATGGTGGTTGCGTATAACTAACCTGTCAGTCCTCGCCGTGTACACACAGCGCCGCCAAAAATGGCATTCTCCCGTTCCGGGCCGTGGTGTCTGATGAACTGAAGTGATGAGGAGACTGCAGGTGACAATGCATACTACTACCTTGATGTGTCAATCAATGCCAACTGCCAACCATATCACATTTGCACTGCTTCGTGCCTCTGGCTAGTAAGCCCTTGTTTAGTTGATCTTAAATTTCAAAAAGTTTTTTTCAGATTCTTACATCGAATGAATGATTTTTGGCTACGTGTATGGGCGTTAAATATGAAGACAAAAAAACCTTATTATATAGTTTGGTGGAAAATTAAAAAAAAAGCTAATTAGTTCATGATTAACACTATTTGCCAAATAAAACGAATATCTTCTGATGAACTTTAGTTTGGCGGAACTAAACGCGCTAAAAAGAAACGAGTAAACGAAAGGAACGTTACGTTGACTGACAGACCACAGTAAACGAACATCACTTGTGTCCTTGTCGCGAACTCGAGATGACGAGATCGCTACGGCGAGAAGCGTTGGCTCGTTGGTTTCAAATCAGAAAATTTTTCATACAATCCAAGGCCTGGCTAGTAAAAAGAAACGAGTAAACGAAAAAAACATGAACGTTACGTTGACTAGTATTTTATCACCTAGTATAAATAAAATCACTTGTGGAGAACTCGAGATGAAATTTTTCAAGATTTTCGCTATCGAATCTTGCAAGGACATGTAAATGTAAAGCAAAAAGACAGGCATTTTGACGTCTAGTAGTATTTTATCACCTAGTATAAAAAAAGCGATCTTGGTGGTTAAAAGAGCACGAGCGCCCATTTTATTACGTCCTACCAAACTAAGCTCTTAAGTTCACTGCTGTGGTGTCTTTTGCATCTTTTGCCTGCTTCGGTACTGTACGCCTTTGCACTTGCACGACACTATTCCGACAGACTGAGTATACACACAGGTGCACTACCAATACCAACGAATCGTCGTCGATGTATTTCGGCCATTTTTTTTCTCTCTCCTTTATTACACGTGCAAAGCCACTAACGCCATAACTTGCAAAATATGTACCTACAACATGGAATCCAGCGAGGCTTTGATGCTATTGTTCAGATGAAACTGAGCATTCTTCTATTTATCTTAAAAAAAGTTGTTAGTTGCCGGCACATATTAACGAATAATTATCTGTGCAACTAATGTAACTGTATTTTTCTCTGTTTTCCTTACATTCCAAGGATAGTGTAACTGCATTTGATAAATCGTATTTCCTCAGTGAATGCTATCACACAGAGCACATACAACATCATACTTTTATGGACTCCTACCGTAGTGTCTTAGTAACCTCAAGTTCAGCTCCATCAATGGGTTTCACCTACTGATATACTAATGGAGGAGGTAAAAACAAACCCATGAAACGTGAGGTTTAATCCTTAGCAGGCGGCCAGTAAGTATCACCGCATCCACTAAGGTCCTATCTAGATTCATGTTTAAAGTTTAGTTTGCTAAAGTTAAGGACTACTTTAGCTCACTTATATATTATAATAAACTAATGACCTTTTTGTGTGGATAGCTAGTTTGACATGAAACTAGATCTCGTAGGATTTAAGGAAATACTCGTGTTTTCAAATAACCCTACATCACTTTTATTGCTATTGTTATAATGCTACGTTCGAATCCACCAGCTAATAGTTACCTGCTAAAAATTATCTGAAGTGGATTCAAATGGATCCAAACCCAACTAATAAATCAATTAATTGTTAGCTAGACACCTAACTAACAACTACTCCTATTTAACTATCTATCTCAACCCCGTTCATATAGCAACTATATATTGCAAAAACAATTTTCACGTTTTCACCTACGTCCACATGTCCAACCATAACAAATATGCATTATAAACAAAACTACAAATACATTCACCTTTTTAGCTAGTGGGTTAAAACAAAAACTAACTATAATAGTTAACCAGCTAATTAGTTATGATTTACTACTACTCCCTCCGTCCCAGCATAAGCCAAATTCAGTGAAACGAACAGGACCACATGTTTTAGATTTGTCTTAAGTCAAACAATTTTAAGTTTGATCAGATTTATAGGAAAGAATATAAAAGTTTGGTCAAATAGATAGAATATAAAAGTATATTCCATAATAAATCTAATAATCACCCTATTCGTTTGTTGGTTTCAGCCAAGCTTATTCAACCAACCAACAGTGTTTTTCTCTCATAACAAACCAGCACCAGTCAGCCCAAACCAGCCCAGAAACCAACCAGCGAACAAGCCGAATACTTATTTGGTATTATAAGATTAGTATTTTTTTATAAGTTTGGTCAAACTTGAAATAGTTTGACTTATGACAAGCTTAAAACGTCACTTATTTTGGGACGGAGAGAGTATTAATCAGCAACTATTGACTTTTATGGAATTCCATCGGTACTTAAAGTTGTTAATTGCCAAACAAAGCCAAGTAGAAAAACCGAGGCTTAATAATTTCTTCCGTCACAGCTTTGACTTTTACCTCTGGAAACAGCTTTGACGGAGTAGTAGTGAGCTTGACAGCTTGGAGCATGGGCCCGCGGGGCTTTTTTCAAGCAGAGTAGGTTCGTACGAATTTGCGACGGAAAGACCAGCGCAAGCCCCACTGTCAGAATTAGGCCCTGTTCAGTTCCTAAAAATTTTAACTCCAAATATCACATCAAATCGTCGAATCTTGCGGTACATGCATAGAGTACTAAATGTAGACGAAAAACAAAACTAATTACACAGTTAGATGAGAAATCGCGAGACAAAACTTTCAAATATAATTAATTCCATAATTAGATACTAATTATCAAATACAAACGAAAATACTACGGTAGTCGAAACTAAAAAAAAAATCGCCAACTAAACGCGCCCTTAACCATCTCTAGATCGCAGTCGCAAGAGTAGAGGGGCCATGGCCAGACACCCAGCAGCATGATGAGCTGCCATCTTTGTACTGCTCCCCTCCTCCGGTGCGGCGGTGCCCTGCCCTGCCCCCGTACATACACACACGGGCCGCGGCTAGCCGTCTCTCTCCTCCAGCCTCTTGTTACGCGGACAGGAGGGCCTGGGAGGAGCCACAGGCATTATAATAGCACGCCATACGCCAAAAGCTCCACTGGAGCCGAGCAGGCTGCTACTCCCACTGTCGCTCCTCCCAAGAACCCGCTCAAAGAATCCTAGAATCCAAGAAAGGCAGCAACAAAAACAGGGGGGAGGTCTGAGGGAGGAGAAGGAGGTGGTGCTGGAGGGGAAGACCAGTGTGTGAAGACCACACAGTCTCACACACTCTCACACCCAGTGTGTGCTGTGGTCTTCCTCTTTGACCACCTTCTTGGAGCGGGGAGTTTGGCCATGGGGAGGTGGTGGCCGGCTGCCCTGCTGGGCTGCGCAGTGGCGGTGGCCGTTCTGGCGGCCGCCGTGGAATGCGCGGTGACGTACGACAAGAAGGCTGTGCTGATTGATGGGCAGAGGCGGATTCTCTTCTCCGGATCCATTCACTACCCCAGGAGCACCCCTGATGTAACTGCATTCTTCAAAATCTCTTCTTTTTTTCCCCTATCTTCCCCGGGGAGGTTCATGGCTGTGGTCAGCTGTTTCTTGTGAATACTCAGGAAAGCAAATTGCTTTCCTACTTTAGCCGTCCCTCTTTCTTCCACGGTTAGTTTCTTGGATGGGTTTACAAAAGGGGGGTTTGAGAGTTTCTCGGGGCACTGTCTTCCCCTTTTTTGTGTGTTTTTTCTCCTGCAACCATGTTTCTTGGTTCTTCATTGCACCGCATTTGGATGCTCTGGTATTCTAAGCTAAGAAATTTTCGACCGCAAAAAACTATTCTGGGTGGTTTTATGGTAATTTTTACGATCTATTTGTTCTGAAGTGAGTGCTTCTTCTTGCTTTTCTTTTCAATCAGATGTGGGAAGGGCTGATTCAGAAGGCTAAAGATGGAGGCCTGGATGTGATTCAGACCTATGTCTTTTGGAATGGACATGAGCCTACGCCTGGAAATGTAAGAAATTTTACGCCTCTTCTGCTCTTCCATTCCGCTGTCATCATTATTAACTCATACAGGATCCGGATGGTATTTTTTCGCTTCGCGTAGTACTATTTCGAAGAGAGGTACGATTTGGTCAGGTTCATAAAGACGGTCCAGAAGGCCGGGCTGTTTGTACATCTCCGCATCGGTCCCTACATTTGTGGCGAGTGGAACTTTGGGTATTTCTCCATTTCCTGAAATCATCTCCGTAAAATGGAGTATTACAGTTTCCAGTTTTGGTGCATATGGCTATATGCATGCATTACTCCTGTCTATTGACTTCTATTGCGATGCATGCAATTTCGTAGTGGCTTCCCAGTTTGGTTGAAGTATGTACCAGGCATCAGCTTCAGGACAGACAACGAACCTTTCAAGGTCGGTCAGTGAAATCATCTCACCAACATTTCTGGATCTAGTTCGAGACACCTTTTCTTTTGTCATCATTGTAATGCTGCTCTCTGTTTGTGCAGACGGCAATGCAGGGTTTCACTGAGAAAATTGTGGGAATGATGAAGAGCGAAAACCTCTTTGCATCCCAAGGTGGCCCAATTATCCTCTCTCAGGCAAGTATAATCGTTTGGTGCCAAGGTTTATATGGTTGAGTTACTGCATATGGGTATAAGCAGATGTCCCTAGTGGCTAGTACATCATGTTAATAGCTTAATTCGCTTCAAGTTTTTTTAACTATTGGTATTAGCAAATTTACAAGTCAGCGCTCTTGCTAGTTTGTGCTGTTACACCTTGAATCCTTGATACAAGTCTGAAACTGGAGTAGCATCTGGTGCATAGTGATATCTCGTTGATACATCTTGATTTGCATGTCACATTGTCCCCACTAGTCCATGCTATTCACTACTGGGGACATGCAAATTAATTTACATCTTAAATGATATTTCGTTGCACAGATTGAGAATGAGTATGGGCCAGAAGGCAAGAAGTTTGGAGCCGCAGGTCAGGCATATATCAACTGGGCAGCAAAGATGGCCATCGGATTGGGCACTGGTGTGCCGTGGGTGATGTGCAAGGAGGAGGATGCACCTGATCCAGTGGTACAGTAATCTTGCAGTACGCCAATAACTCCATTTGGATCGTGTTATTTTTGTTTCATGGGTGGTCAAATTAGTAAAATGACCGCCATGTGCTTCTGATAATGTGCCCAGGAGCTTGTCCATTGTCTTTCTTTTCTTTCTGCAGTAGCATAATTCCTGCTAAAAAAATGATGTTGTGGTTTTGATAATCATAATAGGCGGCTCATCCCCTGTTCTAAATAATGTTATTTCTGATATTTATCCAAATGCTTACATCCTATTATATTAGTTGCATAGTCCGTAACAAGGAAACTGAATCTCAATGCATATCCTGCAACCATTTGGAGGATCAAGATCAAATCAATGTCAGCTCACTTAATTTTGATTATGATGATTCTGTACTGTAGCATGTTATGTTTTACAATTGTGTCTGTCTTGTAGAATCAGTTCTTGAAATTTGATTTGACTCTAACAGATCAATGCGTGCAATGGTTTCTACTGTGATGCATTTTCTCCTAACAAGCCTTACAAGCCCACAATGTGGACTGAAGCTTGGAGTGGCTGGTAAGTTTTCTCTTTTCCTTTTCTTATTGGAATGTTACTCTTTTTTCAAATTATTGCAAGTGCAATATCCAATAGTCATTGATGTGGTCCAGATCTCTTCTGTTTCTGTTTAATCTTAGTGGCCATATGCATTAATATTTGCAATGTATGCCCTAAAACTGTTCACAACGTTTTAGGTTCACAGAATTTGGTGGGACCATCCGCCAACGACCGGTTGAAGATCTCGCATTTGCTGTCGCTCGATTTGTACAAAAGGGTGGCTCTTTTATCAATTACTACATGGTATGACATGAAAATGAAGCTGTTATATTGCTGTTAAGAAGTTTATCTCATCCTATGGGAGATACTCATGGTTGGTGGTTTTCTGGTTTTTGTCGATAGTATCATGGAGGAACAAATTTTGGGCGCACTGCTGGGGGTCCCTTCATCACAACAAGCTATGATTATGATGCTCCAATTGATGAATACGGTAAGTTTACTAGGAGAATTTTTTTTTGGGTGACCATGACCTGTATATGTCACCGTCTTTCTATTGATTAATTAAAGTGTATAGTGCATCTATTTTTTTTTAAAAATGCAGATACATATTCTAAGCATATTGGTGCCTATCCAGGCTTGCCTGTAACTGCATTTTGTAAAGTAAATTTCTTTTATAAGTTTAGTTATTTTCCATACTCATTCTATGCTTTGTTATGTCCAGGACTTGTTAGAGAACCAAAGCACAGTCATCTTAAAGAACTCCACAGAGCTGTTAAGTTATGTGAGCAGGCTTTGGTTTCTGTTGACCCAGCAATTACTACCCTTGGAACCATGCAAGAGGTATGTCTTGGTCAGCCTTTCTCCTCACACAGTGATCTGTATATCATCTATTGGTCGGTGTGTCACATACATCTGTATCAGGCCCACGTCTTCCGATCTCCATCTGGTTGTGCAGCTTTCCTTGCAAACTACAATTCTAACTCCTATGCAAAAGTTGTGTTCAACAATGAGCAATACAGCCTGCCACCTTGGTCAATTAGCATCCTTCCTGATTGCAAGAATGTGGTTTTTAACAGTGCCACAGTAAGTTTCACTTGTGCTTATTTTCAGTATGGCACATTCTCCTCTTCTTGCATTTCCCCCCTTTTGTTTCCCAGAACTGTATGATGACCTGGCTTACCTGTTTGCAATTGTTTGCCCCTGCAGGTTGGTGTTCAGACATCTCAGATGCAAATGTGGGGAGATGGTGCCTCATCAATGATGTGGGAGAGGTATGATGAGGAGGTTGATTCTCTGGCAGCTGCTCCATTGCTCACCACAGCTGGTTTGCTTGAGCAGCTTAACGTCACGAGAGACAGCAGTGATTATCTGTGGTACATAACCAGGTAATGCTGTATCAATGTCTTGCAGATATCTTACCAATTTGTATAAATGTATAATCTCCAATTGGTCCCTTTTCTTTCCAAGAGTTTATTTGGATTCCCTGATTCTGGAAGCCTGGGGCCTTTATTCTTTAGTCTTGCTCTACTTCTCAATATGGATGAGAATGTTTTTGTATCTGAAAATCTCTTATTAATGTCTACAGTGTTGACATAAGCCCATCTGAAAACTTTCTACAAGGTGGTGGCAAGCCTCTGTCTCTCAGTGTGCTGTCTGCTGGTCACGCCTTGCATGTCTTTGTCAACGGACAACTTCAAGGTATCTACTGAGAAAAAACACCTGTTTCTGAACATTAGTGTCGTGGAACATGATTTGTGAATCAGATCTTTTTATTTCACTCCTGTAGGTTCTGCTTATGGTACCAGGGAAGATCGAAGAATTAAATATAATGGCAATGCTAACCTTCGAGCTGGTACTAACAAAATTGCACTGCTGAGTGTTGCTTGTGGATTGCCGGTCCGTCCTTTCATCACTTTCAATTTATATTTACTCATCTTATAACCTAGTATATGACTATTCAGATCTTTGTCCTGATATAGAATGTTGGAGTGCATTATGAGACATGGAACACTGGTGTTGGTGGTCCTGTTGTGCTTCATGGGTTGAATGAAGGATCACGAGACCTTACTTGGCAGACTTGGTCCTATCAGGTATGTTTAACACCACATGCCTTTGTCAATGAATTATTGTCAAGAAAGAAGCTAAACCTGCTTTTCTCCATGCTAGGTTGGCCTGAAAGGTGAACAGATGAATCTGAACTCCCTAGAAGGCTCAACCTCAGTTGAATGGATGCAAGGGTCGTTGATAGCTCAAAACCAACAGCCATTGTCCTGGTATAGGGTATGGACAAAATGTCATGTTGATACCATTTACTTGTGGCTAAGTTTTGCACCTATTCTCACTACAGTTCTGTTTCGTAGGCTTACTTCGAGACTCCCAGCGGAGATGAGCCATTGGCTCTGGATATGGGTAGCATGGGCAAGGGCCAAATCTGGATAAATGGACAAAGCATTGGACGCTACTGGACAGCATATGCAGATGGGGACTGCAAAGAGTGCAGTTACACCGGGACCTTCCGGGCACCCAAGTGTCAAGCAGGCTGTGGTCAGCCCACGCAACGTTGGTAAGAACATTTGTAGCAGCATTTGAATTTTTGAACTACCACCTATTGAGTGTTTATTTTCACTGTCGTGGTTCTCTGATCTCAGTTTGTGAGGTGCTGGCTCCACTATGCTCTCTAACACAAGGTTGAAATTGTGGTATGTGTAGGTATCATGTGCCAAGGTCCTGGCTGCAAGCAACTAGAAACCTATTGGTAGTTTTTGAGGAACTTGGTGGGGATTCATCAAAGATTGCCCTAGTGAAGAGGTCAGTCTCAAGTGTCTGTGCTGATGTATCTGAGGATCATCCAAATATCAAGAACTGGCAGATTGAAAGCTATGGCGAGCGTGAGTACCACAGAGCCAAAGTGCATTTAAAATGCTCACCAGGGCAGTCCATTTCTGCAATCAAATTTGCAAGCTTTGGGACACCTATGGGAACATGTGGAAATTTCCAGCAAGGAGATTGCCACTCAGCTAACTCTCACACTGTTCTAGAGAAGGTTTGTTCATTTCCACTAGTCCTGGCGCGTGCATGCACCTAGCCACATGTTGTTTTAGATTCATAACATCACACTATGTTTCATGTGAACAGAAATGCATTGGGCTCCAAAGATGTGTCATCGCCATCTCCCCCGAGAGCTTTGGAGGAGATCCCTGCCCGAGCGTGACGAAGCGGGTGGCGGTCGAGGCAGTATGTTCTCGCACCGCTTAGCCCTACTTCTCTGAGCAATGAATTTGAAGGCGGTCGTTGGTCGACAAAAAGGATTGGCTGAAACCAATGTGGGGAGAGTGGAACTGTAAGTATCGACTTCGATTAGATGTGTCTGGTTGGAGAGATTAGGTCTTGAGCTTAGCGTTCATTCGTCGTCAGATTCCAGATTAGGATTGGTACTCTGCTACATCTCCATGAATTGTTCAAAGTGGCCAGCTGGATATTGTAGCTGGTCCAGGAATGGAGTGTAGAGAGAAGAGGGGTGGTGAAGGCAGAAGACTGATTATGCATTCTTTTGCTTGGTGTTAGTAGCTGTGTACTCGTGCCATCTCGTCTTTCTTGAAACGGAGAAAGATGCAGGTGAAGTGTTGCATTGTACCTTTTTGTCTACTGCTAGTGGTAAGGGGGAGGAGCCTTGCAATTGTGGGAAGGGAAAAAAAGAGAACAGGCTTTAGAATTGTCTGTAACTGAAGTTCAGATTTAACTGTGGAATTGCTTGGAATTTGGCTTAGCTCGTGATAACAACATCCTCCTACTTTCTCAAAAACCAACATACTCCTACGGAGTAGCAGTACTAGTGTGGCGCGCATTGCTACAGTCAGCATTGGATGCGCAATTCGCGCTTTCTCCAGCTGAGCGCCATCATTCTTGCAGAAATCTGTCAGCCAGAACAGGACCAGGGTCCAGGGCTAAGACTGTCTCTACCAGCGTGACCCAAACGCAAAAATGCGCCATGCACAGTGTTTTGGGTAACAAAACCGTCCTCCAACGGAAGACCTAAACCAGATACCTATTCTGGGTACTCGGCGAGTCGGAAGGCATTTCTGCGTCTTCGAAGAGAGACAACGCAAACATGTAGTGGTGGGCCCGTAGGAGCCGTCGGGGCAGGGCGCGGCCGGCTCGACTCGGCGAGGCTGGTCCGCGGCGGAGCGCGGCCGGCGGGGCGAGGCGGGCTCGAGGCGAGGAGCGCCCGGAGCGGCGCGGCGTGGCGAGGCGGATTCGGGGAGGAGTGGAGTGGAGGAGGCGGGCCGCCGCGGGAGGAGTTGACGAAGGAGAGAGCGCCGAGGGTCCGCCGCCGGGCGCGAGCTCGGGGGAGCCGCCGCCACGCACGAGCTTGGGGAGCCACCGTCGCTTGGATCCGGCGGGCCACCGCCGCGCGCGCCTGGATCTCGCCGGCCGCGAGTCAAGAGCTCGCCGGCGGGGCCTCTGCTCGGCGGGGAGGGGGGGAGAGACTCGGCACTTGGTGGGGAAGGAGGCGGGCGGGCAACGGCGCATGCAGGGAGGCGCGGGATCTGCGGCCGGCGAGGAGCGAGGAAGAGAGAGAGGGCAAGGGGAGATCGGGAGGAAGAGGGAGGGAGGGGAAGAGAAGTGACGAGGGGAGAGAGAGAGGAGAGGAGATATTTTTATCGGTGTACAGTGATTTTGGTCGTCTGTTGGGGAAGCTGAACTATGGGTGCTGTGTTTGGGTTCTCCTCGTTGGAGACAGTCTAAGGCCTTGTTTAGTTTCAAAAAGTTTTCCCAAAAAAGTGCTACAGTAGCCATCACATCGAATCTTGCGATACGTGCATGGATTATTAAATGTAGACGAAAAAAAACTAATTGCACAGTTTGGTGGGAAATCGCGAGACGAACGTTTTGACCCTAATTAGTTCATGATTGAAAACTAATTGCCAAATAAAAACGAAAGTGCTACAGTAGCTAAATTCCTAAATTTCGTGGAACTAAATAAGGCATAAGAAGAATCATCCTCACCTCATGGGAGGCAGGGAGGGCGCAGGCGGTCAGGCAATGAACATGTTCGATGTTCCCCTCTGCGGCTGCCAAATCCTACCGGACCTAATGATCGCAGAGAAGTGCCGAGACGAAGGGCCAAGCATGTTACTGTGAGGACCAAAGGCAAGAGCGGGGAAAACGCATTTTATACAGGACTAGCAAGGGCGCGTTTAGTTCCTATTTTTTTTTTTTTTGCTACTGTAGCACTTTCGTTTGTTTTTTTTTAATTAGTGTCTAATTATAGACTAATTAGGTTTGAAAGTTTCGTCTCGCGATTTCTCACTTAACTGTGCAATTAGTTTTTTTTCGTCTACATTTAATACTCTATGCATGTGTTGTCAGATTTGATGTGACACGTTGGGTGAAATTTTTTTAATCTAAACAGCGCCCAAGTTTACTGTCAGTGGCACGTGAAATCACTGCTGGTAAACAAATAAACAAATAGAAAAAAGGGGTGACCGACGCGACAACCGTGCTGACAGAAGGCGTCCTCCTCGTTGCGCTGCGAATCTGCGATCGCAATAACAGAACGAGGGGCCCTTTTTGACGATGTGCACCCCCCACCCTCCCGTAGCCCCCCTCGTCGCTGGATTTTCTTTTGGCTTTTTGGGGCAGGCCGCCTGCCGCCTGCCTGACGCGCTCGCGGGTTTGCCGACACAACACCCATTCCGCCAGCAGACCTGCCGGTGCCGCCGCCGTCGTCTCGTCTCTGGATGGGGAATCGAATCCAAATCCTAGCGCAACGCAAGGAGGGCGCGCATTTTGCGCGTGTTTAGTTTGAGGTAGTTGGAATTTTGGGTGTAGCAATTTCGTTTTTATTTGGCAATTAGTGTTCAAATATGGATCAATTAGGCTCAAAACGTTCATCTCGTAATTTCCTACCAAACTGTCAAATTAGTTTTTTTTCGTCTACATTTAATGCTCCATGCATGAGCCGTAACATTCGATGTGATAGATACTGTAGCACTTTTGGAATTTTGGGTGAAACTGAACACGCGCTTAGTCATCGAATCCTCGGTCTTTTTCCTCGGGGCGTGAGCATGTGTCATGTGTGGCCATTTGATGCCTTGTTTTTTACGGAGTAGTTGGAACGGAGGAAGGAGGACGGCGGGCTCAGGCTTTCACAGGCTTCTGCCGCCGCCGCCGTAGAGTACCTACGAGTACATGTACAAGAGTACAAGTACATGTACATGGTGTGCGTTTTGGGCTGCTGCCGCGGTTTCAGACCGTGATATGATTCGTGAGGATTTTGATGACCGTGGCTTCCTTGATCGGTTAGGTGCGCGCGTGACAGAGCGCACGCATTGCGGAAGCTCCCGTGGGATCGGAAACGCTCTTCGTGATCAAACGGCTCTTTCTTCTTCAATGCCCCCGAGTGTGGGAGGCACGACGGCGGATTGCCGGCAGCAGATGGATGCGGCCCCGCGGCGTCCGTGCCTCTACGAGCGACGGCCAGCACCAACGACAAGTACACTCCGCCCGTCCTCCGAGGACACGACGGTCAGCACAGCGACGGCAATGGGTAGCCTTTCATTGTATCAATAGAACGTTATGTAAAGAAGGCCGGATGAAGTCCGGGGCCTAAACCGGATTGAATTACAAGACTGACTAGCTAGCAGCTAATCTAGCTAGAATATGCGTTATCATTTTTTCGAGAATGTGTCTGTTGACACATGTTTCGTTAAGAGAGGAGAATATGAGTTACCACATTGAAACATCTACTTACATGAATAAAGTCGAAAACAATAAATGAAATTCTTTTCTCTTGCTTGATGTCGTGGATGATGGAAGCCACCAAAGAGCGATCTCTTCCATTTGATTGGAGCTTCTGGATCACAGAGATGCAATTAGAGGCAATTATCACCTTGTTATATGGATATTTGAGACGAAACGAACAGCATGCCTAAGATCAATTGCCTTTGCAAGTTCTGGATCAGTGGTTCTATTGCATACCTGCTCAGAAGCAGCCAAGAAGTCACCATTGTGGTCTCGGATCACTAAACCAAATCTCATTCTCTTTGATTTTGCAAATAAAGCAGCATCAACATTCACCTTCACCCATCTTTCCGACGGTGAAGCCCATTGTTTAGATTTAGCAGGGTCATCGATAGATTTGTAAAGATGTAGCAGAACCATTTTAGCGTATGCTTGTATTTTCTCAGCAATACAGTGAGGATGCACCTGAACATCACCATTTCTGACATTATTTCTCGCCTCCCAAATATGCCATATAGTGATCGTTAGACTGTGTCTTCTTCCTCTGAGGATTTTATCAAATAATTGAATAGCCATTGCTTGGCAGAGGAGAAGTTCTTCACGCGGCTTGTTAAGCCACATCCTTTCTTAGGTTGTCCCCAAATTTCAGCAACGTATCGGGAGCCCCAATCGTAGATAGCAGCCGAGGCCCCTCAGCGCTGGGCCACACTCAGGCCATCGCCCCGCCCAAGGCCGTCTCTGCAACGGAGGCCGACTGGGCCCAAGTTCAATGGCCAGGCCTCTTGCCGTCCCTTCCTATTCCACAGCCCAAGACCAGTGTCCAGCCACGGCCTACCTATCTCTCTGGCCCAACTACAGCACGCGGCACACTCGCGCTCGCACGGTAGCGTACCGTATCGCTGACGCGCCGTCTCCGTCTCCGTCCCCGCAGCAGCCTAACCCCGCCCGTGCCGCTGCCGCCCACTACGCACCCAGCATAGCATCCGCGGCCGGCCGGACGAGGAGGGCCCCGCCGGCGAATGCACGGCCATCTCCCCCCCCGCACCGTACTCCCACGCCACGCCGACACCGACAGTGCTCCACACCACACATGGGCTGTCTGTTCCTCCCTCCGTGTCCGTCCCGATGTTTCGTTGCATTTGCGTGCCCCTCTCGTGTCTCGCCCCCTTGTCTTGTATCCATTCCACGCTCGAATTTTGGGAATTTTACTAATATAGCACTTTCGTTTTTATTTAGCAATTAGTGTTTAATCATAGATTAATTAGACTCAAAATGTTCGTCTCACAATTTCTGATCAAACTGTATAATTAGTTTTTTTTGTCTACATTTAATGCTCCATACACGTATCGTAAGAATTTGGCTGGGAAGTAAACAAGGCACTAAGATTCTGCCGCCTGTACTTGCCCCTTGAAGGGTTGCGTTCGCGGGTAAGAGAAAGCGAGCGGGGACGAGGGGGACGCCGATGCCGCGGCGGCGTGCGCTGCCTCTGTCTGGGGCGCCCACGCTTTGTG